TGATTATATGGTTAATATGTAGTTGCTTCATTCATTCTTCTCAGTAGTTTGATAAACTCCCACTTCGCATTTTAAAAAAATATTGTTTAGAATGCTTAGAATTGAACTTGACCAAGATCTGAGAAATGAATACTGAAGGTGTTATAGATCTAAAATAAATTAAGAAATAAAACAGTTGAGAAATGTTGATAAAATGAAATACAATTTACCAAACAGAAAACAAATTAGCTAAAGCCGAAGGCTTAAAATATACGTACATTCCGCATTATTCAGTTGTATATGAACTGTGATATATCATCAGAAATACCTATAAGAGTATTGATATATCTTATATATAAATGATGCTTGTTGAACTAAGTAAGAATAATCTGATTAGTACAATGAAATGAATTCCCAGTTATAAACAAATTGCTTTATTTTCATGTGTAATAATTTTTATTGCTTTGAATTGCATTACATTGATAGTTGTGCCATAACCTTGGAGAAGCCTACTCGTCCCTCATTCGTTTGGCTGTATGTTTTACGCTAAACGTTATTTCTTAATACAATACAATCAACCAATCTTTGACACTACCGCCATTATTTTTTTAAGTTTTTGAACAGACAATGGATATGATATAAAATTAAAAGTTGAATATGATAAGATGTTCATTTAAACCATGAACTGGTCTTGGCTGGACCACCACGATAGAAAACTTGGATGCACTGGATATACCATGACCAGTAGAGTTCAGTCAGAATTGCGTGTGAAACTTTGATCCACTTCAGGTAATAGTAGAGGATTGCGAAATATCGTCAAATGGTTGAATTTAGACACTAACACAATTAGATGCCAAGCTCATTGGTCTAGAGGTTAAACATTTGCGCACGATACCAAATGTTCTGGGTTCCATCTCTAGTGGGGATCTTGGAGGCCCCTTGTTGAAGAGTACTTTACTAGGACGAAAAGACTGTCCAGTGCCCACGGGTTTTCAATGGTAATCTAAACAAGAAAACTTCGTGATTCAAACTGTGAAAATTCCACAATCTCCACAAATCCCCTGCATTAAAATTAATAATTGCTTTCTGATGAAGCCAATATTAATAAATCGATTAGTTCATCATTAGTCATTACTCACTAAGTGACCGACAAGAACATTTTCCTCTTTTACTCATACAACCTCATTACGCAACTGCTAACGTGTAAAACAAATGTACATCGACAATAGATTAGATTAATGTTCTGTCTATAATAATTGATTAGTCAAAGAACATTCGATCATTACCCTTATTATCGAGTGGATAAAAAGTAACTTCTAATCATAATAACTTAACGGTTGTATTTATACATGAGTAAATAATTTATTCATAGGATAAAATTATTGATAAGCAATTTTTGTTCGATATTGATGTTTAAAGGGAGGTCAGTTGACTTGATCATAGTCAATGTCAGACGTGACACAGATCTGCATCGACTAACATTATATCAGGACAGGACGTCGAGATCAAACTAACAAGATGAATAATAAACAAGTTAAAACAATGGTAGAATTCTCGACCATATAAAAGACTAAGCGTACAGAACATACCTTGAAAAAAACTAAAGAATGAAAAAAAAGAGTGTATGGAATAATATCGAAGATTTAGAAGTGGGAGAAAATAAAGAGAATCGGCAAACCTAGGCCACTGTGATTGAAACTGAGACATCACTACCTAATATTTCTAATCATGGACTTATTTACACCTGTTACCTCTCATGGAGGAGCATAGGCTGACCACCAGCACTCGCCATCTAACCCTGACCTGAGCAATCCTTTCCAGTTTCTATTCATCCTTTTCATGTCTGCTCCCAATTCTCGGCGCAGTGTTCTTTGACCTTCCTCTTTTTCGTTTCCCTTCAGGATTCCGAGATAGTACTTGGTATGTGACGCAGTTTGGTGATTTCCGTAATGTATATCCCATCCACCCTCGACACCTTTTCCTAATTTCATCTTCACCTCGAAACCGGTTTGTTCTCTCCTGCAGTAGATTGTTGCTGATGGGATCCGGTTAACGGACATTCAGTATCTTACGTAGACAATTGTTTATCGATACTTGTACCATTTTGATGTTGGTTGTAGTTCTCCACGTTTCAGCTCCGTAGAGTACGACTGTCTTGATGTTCGGATTGAAGATTCTGACTTTGATAATGACTTGCAGACAGTTCTTTTGAGTTCCACATGTTATTCAACTTGTCAATGCTCCCCTTCACTTGCTTATTTGCATCCATGTATTCAAGCTCGTGCCTACATTTCCTCTGTTTTTGTTCGGCTGTTGTTAATTTCTGTCTTCTTGTTCTTCCTTCCTTGAATCTTCAGGGTTTCCATAGAGATCCATTTCCTATGATGATATCTGTTGCGACCCAGAACCTCCTGACACTTCTAAGTTATTGCTTCTTTGATCCCTTCCTAGTTGTCTTACATAGTGGTTTCCTTTTCTTTGAGATCTTGTAATGCTTGGAACGTGTTGTTGTGAGCTATCTTGGATTAATTGAGTATATCAGTATGTGGAAGGTTGTACTGAACCTTGTATTGAACTCACTGAGTGTGTGGAATATCTTCCTCTTCGTGACCGGAGTACAGCAAGATCTCTTCCGTATCTAGCCTTTGCTATCCAGCTTGGGTTCAATGGGTTTCGCTGATTCCCAGTACTGCCAATTTGAATTTCCTCATTTCTGTTGCTATTTGACTGGTCTTCACGGTCTACCACATTGTTCAGACGTTCCCTGTACCTAGAAAAATTATTGCTCTGGTTGTTAGAAGGGGCATTGACCTCGTGACTTCCGAAGAATCTCAGCTTTTATCATGAGGCGTCATAATTCTTCCTTCAACTCCCAATGCAGAGTTTAAATGGTTTAATTTGTTTAATCTGGTTGGCGTTTTTTAGCAAGATTTTTTTCTACGGGATGGGGTTGCCAACCGCATGCCCAACCCTCCTCCTTTATCCGGGCTTGTGACTGGCAGTAACTCTAGAAGAACTATAAGCGGAGTTAATTATGGACTTAGATACTTCTAATGAGCTTAGTACTTACTAATAATTTAGCTTTTCACCATGATGGAAACGGTGGCGAAAGTCCTTCTTTGACTGTGGTTAGAGAAATGTATTATTCACTGAAGAGATAATATTAAATAACACTTCAAGCTGATCTTGTTTAATACATCTTACTTTAGTAAATTTTCCATCTTTGAGTATTTATTCATTAAAGAACAATACAATACACAATAATTATTGTCATTAGTTAAAACACTAAAACTGACCAAGAATTTTGGTTGCGATATCATGAATGAAAAGAACACTGCTAAATAAAGTAACAAATAGAACTTATCACATTCCCAGGTCTAACTATCACATATCATCACACAGTATATAATCTGTTAATAATTCTACAGAATACATAATACATGACAACATTGATTAAATGACAGTTATTTTCTACTGTAATCTATCATATTGTTAAGTTGTTTGTACTTCAAATCGAATAGGTAGAACTGATTTGAAACGAAATGCTTTGATTTACTGAAAAATTTATTGGTATAAAAAAGAAATGTATATTGTGTTGAGTTACTAGGCGACAGAATATTGTCAAAGTAAAAGAATATACTTCAGTAAATTAATATTCCCATTCTTGAGATTTGCTAAGAATGAATCGATCCTAAATATTCGTCTTGAAATTTTGAATTAGCTCTTCTATTTACCCAGCAAAATTCCTTATGATATGCAATGTCCTTTAGGCTTTTTATGAGTGTAAAGCTTCCGTATTTCCCTTTATACAATTCAGCAGAATAATTGACTACTAAAGAGAGCAGTGCTTAATCATTGCACTTTACCAAGAGTAGTCTATCCCTGAAGATATTTCAAGTTATTTCAATCAATATAGTGTAGTTGTCGAATAATTCGAGACTATATATATACAGAATAGTATTAAGAAACCTTTGGAAACGATTATAAATACCATCTGATTAAAGTTAATTAGAATATGATAGTGAAAAAGAAGTTCAAGCCATTTGGTCCAACTGCCTTAGATCTGTGATATGATTTTCTAAAAAAAATATTTACAAAATGAAGCTTCAAGAGGTTAGCTAATACAATTTCTAGAACAGAGTTTGGAAGTTAAATTCAAATTGCAACATAGCTTGCTTAACCTATAACTGTTAATGAAGAGTGAGAACCTTTAGTTCGCCTCATAGTAACAAATAAAAGGTTAATTTCCTAATCACAAACGTTTCTTAACTTAACCGATGGAAAGTTTACTCTCTGAAAAGTAATATCAGAAATAAGCATTTTGATTTATGAACTAACCATTAAACAGTTCATCAGTTGAGGTTTCGTAAGATTGTCATCGATTATGGGATTGGATGACGGTTATCTAACACTAACTGAAGGAAATTGGAACAGTAAACCGATGAATTCTAATTTAAAAGTCTAATGTTATCATGACTGTACAATGAAACCCGAAGGTACTCTTTTCGATCCATGAAAGGGTCGTGGATGGGTATCGCTGGGGAGGAGACCTAAGTCAGAATGATATAGTTATTTGGTGTCTCCGTGGCTTTTCGCGACTTTTCTATTCATGTCACAGTTCCTAATCAAAATTAACCTGAAAAGAAATAGCTGTTCAGATTTGAAAGTTCCTGTTAAACTCAATAAAAAGTTATTTGGTTGTATAAATTAATTATTGAATTACTCATTACTTTCCTACCGTAGATTTGCCTACATTTGCATTACTAGAAACTGCAGTAAATTGAGTATATTAGTTCTGTAGATATTTTTCAAAGATTTAAGCCAACTGTTTCTAGAAATATTTCACTCAATAAAACGTAAAATTTAATCTTTGAAAAAAAGCAAGAACTCTGATTGTCTGTTGTATTTCAACCTTGTACAGTTTCATACATTCAACTGAAATACAATTTAATTATTCTACTACGGTTTCTCAGAGCAAAGGTAAAGCATGATATTTGTATATTAATCCTATGGTTGTTAAGGTAAATTGCACTTAATCATTGATTTTTAGCATCCCATATGTGTATTCAAAAGGTATTCAGACTTAGGGGTAACTAAATAATTTGAACATATTAAGGAAGTATGATTAAATAATTTTAACTAAGTCGAGGGCTAGACAAAATAAGTAATTTCCGTTCAGTAAAAGAATATCCATTTAAAGATCAAACATCTCTTTAAGATCCAAATAAACAAAGTAGACTTGAAGAATTTATGAATTAATTGCTAGATATTCAAGTGAAGAATGATATACTTTAGTGCCCTAACGACTAACAAACATATTTCTATTAAATCAGAAGATACATGGTCAATTTCTCCAACTATTTGAATCTAGTTAACAGAAAATCCATCCATTTAGTAGTTATTGATTGTGAGTAAACAGAACCATAATTGTAATTCAAACAGCTTTTGCTTTGAGAAAAGATAAAGTCATTTATTTCAGTTTTAACCTGGTGATTAAGAGTTTCATTATGCCATCATGTAAACATTTCAAAAGTAGCCTTTTTATGGTAGAAAACCCTTTTTAAATATAAGGAAAATCAAATGCTTACCGACAAGCACAACTATTTACTATTTGTCAAAACAATGAAACCCTTTAGACATCTCCCTCTCAATCTTCCACTGCAATAAAATATCAGCTCAGTTAGATATCAATAATTAAACATCAATGATGCCTTTGAACCACTGCTTTTGTAAGTTTAGACCATCAGGTGGGCTATTGCTAAGGTTAGACTCAGGGTACTAGGTAAAGAGGCCAAATCTATCGATGAGATCGTGAATTCTCAATAAGTAAGGTGGTTAGGATATATATATATATATTGGTTAAGCCCGACCACCGCCTACCTCAACGCGAGATGTTTGCTGGTATGAAATAGGTTAGTGGAGAGTTGGATATGATCAAACCAAAACGTGGCACCAGTTCATCAAGACAATAACTACTAGACTTAGTCATGTTGGCAGGTTCAAAGCACCTGGTTAGGGTCCACGCGATTATCGTAATCGCCCATTGAAGACTATGAGTGATAAGGCCCATAACTGATGACAGTAGTGCAGATGCATTCATTCTTTGTTTCTCTTTAGATTTCAAGTTTCAGAATTATTTAACAAATTCTTCTCAAGTTATATTGTCAATGCCTAATAATTTTCTATTTCCACTAAAACTACTATTAGTTCTTCTATTCTGGAATTTATCCTTACAATTTTGTCTCGCTATGTTAATGTGATAAGATAACTTGAATCAATACACATATTTCAAAGGTTTAATATTTTCTATATCCGACTAACTCAATGAATAAATGATTAGGGGAGAAACAAACAGTTATCAAAACCAAAAGGGGTTTTGTGGAGATTCTAGTAATGTCAATAACTGAAATCATGAGTCAGTTGAAGCTAGATCACCATGGAAAGAAAACCTGGAAGCACTGGCCGACCGTTTCATCCTAGTATGGAACTCCTCAGCCATTATCGAAACCGACAAATAATATACAAAAGTGATAACACTAATATTGAAAATTACAACAAAAAACATTTTATTAAAATATAATACATTTTTCATTACAATATTAATGTAATGATAATGTACAGTGAATTTAGTGAAAAGCATTCCACTAAATTCATAACAAGTTTCAACTCATTTATCTAAATTATGATGATTAAAGAGATGGATGAAAGTTACACACCAACCAATTAGGTGAACAAAAAAGAAAAAAACAAAATGTAAATAAACCTGAATACAGTAATTATATAAAAGAAAAAAAAAGAAAAAAAACAAAGAAATGATATTAAAAATTATGTTACGACGTTAACATTGAAATTTTATTATGGTGTATTACGATTGTTTAAACAGTTGACTAAGACAACATGTACTTTAGTCAGACAATAAAAATGACAAGTAAATATTGATAGTTCCATTTGATAGAATACAACAACTTCACTATTAAATAACTCAATATCAAATAGTAATGATGATATTAAGCTTAATAATTAGTTAAGGTGGGCAGATATCTTTTCGAGATAGAAAAAAAGATTGTTTTAATAACTTTGGAGATTATAGTTCAACATCAAACGTACTTCTTACTGAATAAAAAACCTATTCACATTCATTTATTTGATTAATTATAGCTTTATAAGTCAAACGGAACATTAGTCGTGTTTCTATTTCAACTACCTTCTAAATTAAATCATTTGTTTCATTAATGTAAACGTGTTCCCTATTCAACACTTTTTATTTAGATCATCTCAAGGAAGATATGAGCTTCTTAGTTTTCTAAGTGAACCTTATTTTATCAATTTGTTGAACGAAATGAAGGGTAAGAAGTATGCCTCATCTCTAGTCTTAATAACTTTTATGGTTTCCACGGTATATAAACTCTTGGTACATGATATTCCGACATGGGGGTTCTTTCCATATATGTACCATTTACACCAGTAATCACTGTAATCTTATATTCCAATATAGATAGCCAAATAAATGTTATTATATTGACGTATTAAGAAAACGTTTCTTCCTGACAGTGATCCACAATGTTAGGAGAATCAGAATGTCAAACATTCGTATAGCTTAGTTCAAACATTTTTAAAAGTCCAGAGGTACTGCTAAATACTTAAAACCATCATCTCAGTGAACAGTTTAAAGAATAACCTTGAGAATAACGTATTTTATTCTATTATTATTATTATTATTGTTATTATTATTATTATTGTTATTATTATTGTTATTATTATTGTTATTATTATTATTATTATTATTATTATTATTATTATTATTATTATTATTATTATTATTATTATTATTATTATTATTATTATTATTATTATTATTATTATTATTATTATTATTATTATTATTATTATTATTATTATTATTATTATTATTATTATTATTATTATTATTATTATTATTATTATTATTATTATTATTATTATTATTATTATTATTATTATTATTATTATTATTATTATTATTATTATTATTATTATTATTATTATTATTATTATTATTATTATTATTATTATTATTATTATTATTATTATTATTATTATTATTATTATTATTATTATTATTATTATTATTATTATTATTATTATTATTATTATTATTATTATTATTATTATTATTAGCTTTATTCAATATTATATTATTGGTACAATATAGAATTCTCAGCACAAAGTATTTCAACAAGTTTCCGTTTCTTTCTTCTTGGTCGGTCCTCGCGATAAATACTGAGTGATCGCCAGCTAGATGTTAACAGTCCAGTAAATGAATATTTGAATAATGTACATTCTTTTCGTTGTATATTGCCAGCAACAATATTCTCTCTTTTTGAGCTTTTTGTAACTTTGACAACGAAAGGTTGTACACTTTTCAGAAACGCAGCAGAATAGGTTGTGCGATTAATAGACATAATGGTATATTAAAACAAACAAAGATAGATAACTTGTCGAAAAATCTAGATGGCAGGAACAGGTAGCCCAGATGCTCAAGCAGGCCGCCTTTTATATGAGAGATACGCGAACAATAACATCATCTGTGACAAAAGATAGTGACCAAGGAATATATATTATTTATTACTGAAGCTGCTAAGAACAGCTTAGGCCATCCAGCTTTTTGTTAGTACATGTTAGTTCTTTCTCTAAAGCGTGACCTCGATGACATTTTTCTAATTCATATTTCTGCAATTACCTTTGCTGTCATCTGATTATTTGTTATCACTTTTGACTTGCTAAGATGATGTACTCCAAGGCTATAGGATGTTATCACATAAGAGTTGTTCCGTATCAAGTTTTAAATTCTATTCGGAATATAAAGCTAATCCGGAAGTCACTTCTCCATCTTATATTAGCATGTGGATTATTAACGTTAAAATACTTTGTATGTGAGATGTTCAGATCCTGAAGTGTTCCTAAATAGAATTTATCATAAGCTAACTGGAAACCGGCTTTATCAAAATATAACAAAATCAAAGAAAGAACTCTTCAATTCACTTTTTTTTGAATATTTCGCTCAAAAGAAGAGATGATCATCTTTAAGGACAGATATCCAAAACGTTCAACTCGAAAAAGGTGGAATAGGAGTTTATAAATTTGAATTCCATTGTGTAGAAACATGAATCTTATTCATCTATTATTTTAAAGGGTTAGGTGAGCTCACAATGGTTAAAAATAATTGAAGATCTATCAAAAAAGCTTGAAAGAGGACAACTAAAAAGGATAGACCTATGTAGCACAATCATAATCGAATTAGTATCTAACATAGAAAAACACTACTATCACTGGTTACACAATATCACATCTCAAGATGAGATCAATCAACAATCAGTAGCAAGTTGGATTGACAGTAGTCTATGAATGTGATAAAGACTATAGGTAGAAAATATGGTTGAAAAAGGGACGAAATTGTGTAACTTTTCTTATCTTCACTTGTTTAGGCAGCTACAATAGTTCTATTAACAGTTGATTTTTAAAAAATCAAATATACACTTATTACATGATAACGCCTAACAATGAATCAGTTTTTAACAAACAGTTTTCTTCTACACGCTGAATACGAATAGGTCTCAGATGTCACCTGAGCATACTTATGTAATGAGTAGTATATGTGAGTTACATCCGAAAAATATTTCATAAATTTGACTTGTGAATAAAATGAATATTGTAGATTCCATTGCTACTTATAATCCAAATTTACGAAAAAAAGTTGTGACAAAATGGTATAATACCAAGACAATGCACTTAAGTTAACAGTGATTGATTAACAACAGTCCTTAAATATGAATGACGGGGAATTACAAATCCCTATTAATACATTCAAATATAGTTCAAAGTCAGTTACAGTATTGGAATAAGTACTTTAATCAGAAGTCCAGTAATAGCATAATTTCTAAGTATGAACTATGGAATTTCTTAGTTCTCACTGACATGATATCGCTAACAAACTTTCAGTGATTAATAATTTCAACTTTAATAAAACAATTTTGGCTAAGTGATAATATTTTGGATAAATTTACAGATCTACATGGAACTTGTATTAAATTTTAATTAAAAAAAGACATAACATACTAATACAAAGAAGGAGAGTAGATACACAGTTGGGCCATGTGAAATATAGTTTAGTTCATATAATCATAAAAAAGCAATCATATGAATGATTGACTACCCTAATTTAATGTGATCCTAACGATTATGAGATTCCATTACCATAACTTCATGTTTTCATAAAGATTTACTAATGTCATGAAGATTTCTAAGTCATAGATTTATAATTCATTATTAAACTGATTCGAACTTAGCAACAGTCAGGAAAAAGTTTACTAAACTTATTTGTTTACACCCATACTAGATGATTATCAAGTGGAAATATGTTTTCCAAATGTTATAAGTAAAACTAACTGCCACAGTTCATATTTAATGACTCATGTACTAAATAAGAAGTAATATATATTCCTCTGTCATACATCTTTACATGATGGTAGGTAGTACTTTTAAGGTGCTGCCCAAATTAGGAGTGTTCTCTAATGTGAAGCCTAATGTTTAGAAGTTGAGTAATTTAATTATCAATCACTAAGTCTTCAGTGGTTCACTATGAAATTTTTTTATATATAACTCAAATCACCCTTAAGTAATGTGAACTAATTCCACATAGTAACAAATGGAAAGTCGACTTATTCAATCATATTAACTGTCCAATCGATGTGATTCATATTATCGCCAAACTCAGCTATTTGTTCTATTCATTAAAAAAAGCTACGTAGAAATGGTATGGGTGATGTATAGGATAAAATAAACCCCACGACTGATCTTCATCCTTCTGCATAAATGAGCATGAAATGTACTCACGGTGACAACCTAATTTCTATATATCATTTTGAAATAAAAATATATTTATAATCATGAATTAAGAAGAGGAAATACTTGTGATGAACAATACCTCGATATATCATACTGACTTGAAGATACTTAATACTTTACTTAAATTTATTCCAGAAATTCAAAGTCTCATGACATTTCCTCAGTAGTTAAATTTGAGAATTACTTGTCCTTATAATTATTGATGAAGCCGACTATAACCAGTATGTATTTAAGCTATCATACAACAAACTGACCAAAAAAAGACCCATAGTTTAGTATTTATACACAATTCCTTTCATCATCAACAAAAGTTATCTAAGTGAACTTGTATTAACTTTATGTTTATTTTCACTGAAGTGAAGAACATGAGCGATTCATTACTCAGTTATTTCATTAGAATGTACTTTTCAGTAGAAAACATACTAATTCTATGAATAGCATTAAGAGAATGAATAATGTCAACAGATGTAAACAAGGCGTATCTACAAGAAAATGACGATTATTTAATTAATTTTCCAATATATGTCGAAATCAATGAGTTTGTAAATAATCACGTAAATAGATCATAATAAGTGTATAAACCTACTTATATTGATTACATAGATGGCACAATTCACTATGATGATTATCAAAGTAAATAGTTTAAGTTTTAAAAACTCCACTGTGATTAGTTTCGAATAGTATCCGATGTAATGTCTTGTTCATTTTGTTTTTCAATAGTTTATTAACCAATAAGATTAGCAGTAACTTGATCTACACAATTACTTTATGATCAATAGCTAATATCAAGTTTTTTTCTTATAATCACTTGATAGTAGTTAGTGTACTTAAAATTGCTTTTATTTTAATCTATGAATTAAATATGTACACAATTAAGCTTATATAAGTTAGCAGCATAATCTCTAGTCTGTATATTAGTTGTGAGTCAACACCAATGTCTTATAACCAGAAATATACAAATTTGAACAATGAATCATCATTATTATTAATGCTACTGTCTATTGACCTAATTTCAAGTCATATTAGCCGGTATATGACATTAAAGAAAGAATTAGAGTAAAAGATTAATTGTTGAAACACCTTTTTAATGGTTGACATAATTAAATACCCGAAAAGTGGTGATTAAAATAATTAGATTAAATTCTTGTGTGTTGGTATTTCATCCTTAAATGGAAGATGGGAAATTGAACGTAAGTGTGAAACACAACCACTACCATTGCTACTTGGTCACTGAATGAAATAAACATGAAATGATAGAACTAAACTAAGTAGGAGGTTCTGAATACTGAAGTTAATTGCTAATAATCAAATATATCTCAAGTGAGTAGTGAAATGTTATACCAATTACTGTGGTTAGTATCTATACTATTAATGATAATTATAAGTATACACAGATGACCTGTGAATAACCATCATTACAAAGCACCAATCCCCATCACACACATGTGGATAGAAACAAGAGTTACTCAACTATTCGGAAAACCATAACAATCAGTTGCAAACTAAATCACTATCACTGTATTAAACTAATCTACATAAAGCTTTTTATAAAATTTCAAAAAGATTTTAAGAATGTTATTTCATATGTTTAATTAGTGGAAATTATAAATTCGATATTAGCGTAGCGGAACAACAATACTATCCTCTATTTAAGAAGGATTATTAAAGGGAAACATCGCCATCATAATACATTTTCCTTATAGTATTATTGATTTCAATTTATCTAAATATTTAACATAAATGGATTAAAACACATTCATATCAAACTCTACATTGACAATGGCTGAGATAAGATATGCTAAAGGATTTTCTGCTAAACACTTTTAGAGCAATTAGGCATTACGCAACAGTCAGATATTTCTTAAAATCATATTGCATAGCTCGTTGTTATTCATAAGACCTATTTTAGAGCAAGAAGTAAAGAAACTGAACTTTACTTCATTTTTTACCACAAGTTAATCTTTCAAAATGAATACCATCTTAAATATGTCATTAATTCTTTTCTGGAGAATCAGAACATAAACGGCACCAAATTATTTCATTTATTGGCTATGTAACAGTCAAATTATTGTTTCATAATGACATAGAATGATGTCAAAGTCTATATTACAGAGAAGAAAATACACTAAAGAGACAACTTATCCATGTGCACATAAAGTTATTCTGTAGACAATACTTAAACCACTACTTTATTTTCAGACAATTTTTGTAAAATGGATATATGATTGTTGCAGTCACTTTTACGAAATTATGAATTTAGGGGAGGCGTCGAT